CTTTCTTTGGAGTGCATCAGATGGCTCTCTCCCTCTTCCGTTTCATTGCAGCTGTTGGAAGAACAGAAATAGTTGCAAGCACAATTGGCACCTTTACCTTGCTAATGGTCTTTGTGCTTGGAGGCTTCATAGTTTCCAAAAGTAAGGATTAATCTCTCTCTTTTAGGGTTAGAGTTGTCATGAATTTGAAGTAAGCTGCTACATATATCAGCTTTATACCAGGAATCTTGCAAATATTGATCAGTATGTTCACAACTCAAAAAAAAAAAAAAAAAAAACACAATGGCGGGTTCTTTGATGAGTCTATAAGAGTTTTGAATGAGTTGCAAGAATAAATATTACTTTTCTTTGTGCAGATGACATTAAACCATGGATGATTTGGGGCTACTATATTTCTCCTATGATGTATGGACAAAATGCCATTGCTATCAATGAGTTTCTTGACAAAAGATGGAGCACTGTAAGTTATCCTAATGCCTAGGGAAAAAAACACACTCACATATTTCTTTTTGAACTTCAGTTGGCTCATATATTTGGCTATTGCCTACATCTCATGTTATTCTCTTGTCCCAGCCCATAAATGGTTCTAGCCAACCCACAGTGGGAAAGACCCTCCTTAAGGAAAGAGGACTGTTTGTAGATGAATACTGGTATTGGATTTGCATTGGAGCACTTATGGGATATTCTCTCCTTTTTAACATTCTTTTCATTGCAGCACTGACATTTTTAAAGCGTAAGTCGCGGTTTCCCCTCTCTAGTTTGGTTCTTTGCTTTGAATAAAATGAGGAACCCTGTACTCATTGTTCCTTTCCTGCACTCAACTTCAGCACTTGTTGATTCGAAAGCTATAATTGCGGATGAAAACTCTGAAAGCAATATTAAGAAGCAAGTGACATCCAATCCAGAAGGTTGGTGGTTTATGCTACTTCTGCTCCCAGTAATTGATCATTTATTTGAAGCACTAGTTCTAACTTTTCTAATTTATATCTGCAAATGTAGGCACTGTTAATCAGGTGAGAAACGCTAGAGGGACTGCTAGCTCAATCAGTTCTTCAAACAATCAATCTAGAAGAGGAATGGTGTTGCCCTTCCAGCCCCTTTCACTTGCTTTTGGCCATGTGAATTACTACGTGGATATGCCTGCTGTAAGCAATGTTTTACTTATATTTCCTTTGAGGTTTTCATTTTAAGAAATCTATATGAGAACTTACATCTTTAAACAAAACATTAACAGAAATTAAAAATGAGAGTTTCTGCTCATTTTCTTTAAAAAAAACAACAATGCATACTAATAGATATAAACTTTATATAAGACGAGGTATAAAGTTTAATAGATATGTTATTTTACCATCAGGAAATGAAGAGTAAAGGGGTTGTAGAGAGCAGACTGCAACTGCTACAAGATGTCAGTGGTGCTTTCAGGCCTGGTGTTCTAACCGCATTAGTAGGGGTCAGTGGTGCTGGAAAGACTACCTTGATGGATGTTTTGTCAGGAAGGAAGACTGGCGGATACATTGAAGGAAGTATTAGCATTTCTGGGTACACAAAGAACCAAGCTACATTTGCTCGAGTTAGCGGTTATTGTGAACAAAATGACATCCATTCGCCTTATGTGACTATCTTTGAATCTCTTTTGTATTCTTCGTGGTTGCGTCTTGCTTCAGATGTAAAGAAGGAAACAAGAGAGGTACTAAATGATTATTGTATGGAAAAATTTATCCTGTTACAAACTTACAACTTACTTTTCCAACCTAAAGTTTGAAATATCATCAACTATTTGAAATATGCTTATGCCATATCATAATTTACAGTAATTTTCGTCTATTTTATAGATGTTTGTTGAAGAAGTCATGGAACTAGTTGAGCTTTACCCCTTGAGGAATGCCTTAGTGGGACTTCCAGGAGTAGACGGTCTTTCAACCGAACAGAGAAAGAGGCTCACCATAGCTGTAGAGTTAGTTGCTAATCCCTCCATTATCTTTATGGATGAACCCACATCTGGCCTTGATGCTAGAGCTGCTGCAATTGTAATGCGAGCGGTAAGGAACACAGTAGATACTGGTCGAACCGTGGTGTGCACAATCCACCAACCAAGCATAGATATCTTTGAAGCTTTTGATGAGGTAAGTTTCATCCCTGGAATCTATTGTATTAGTAAATGTTCTGTTCGCAACCCTTTTCAGTTTTTATGCTCTGTCTCAAATTGATGTTGTTTCTTTTTGCAGCTGCTTTTAATGAAAAGAGGAGGAAAAGTTATTTATGCTGGACCCCTAGGTCGTCATTCTCACAAACTTGTTGAATATTTTGAGGTGAGTTTTTGTATATATGCTTGTCTCAATTTGAATATACTTTGAGGTGAGTTTTTGTAAGAACTTTGGATGGAACATTAGTGATAAGATAGTTAAAACAGAAGATAAAGACCAAGAGGCCACAAAGACTACTTGGGAAGAAATAGCACAAAAGATCTCAAGAAAAAAATTAATTTAATAGGAGATATTGCATGTATTATTTTAAAATGGAAGACGGGATTTTACATATTGGCCGAGTTCATTTGATTAGGACAAGGCAAGAATGATGATGGTGAACATATATGCAAGTTTGACTGGTATCTGAAACCTCTTGTAGGCTATTCCAGGGGTTCAAAAAATAAAAGAGGGTTACAATCCTGCTACATGGATGTTAGAGATCAGCTCCACTGCAGTTGAGGCACAACTTAAAATTGATTTTGCACAAGTTTATGCCAATTCTGACCTCTATAGGTAAGTAATATACTGCATCTTATTCTTCTCAAAATCCTTCCCATCGTGTGTGTCCTGAATTTTCTCATGATGTTTTCCCAAATTTTTCAGGAGAAATCAGGAGCTCATCAAGGAGCTAAGCACTCCACAACCAGGTTCCAAGGATCTTTACTTCGCCACGCGGTACTCGCAAAGCTTCATAACTCAGTGCAAGGCTTGTTTCTGGAAACAGCACTGGTCTTACTGGAGGAATTCACGATACAATGCAATCCGGTTCTTCATGACAATTGTGATTGGTATCTTATTTGGTATAATCTTTTGGGGCAAAGGAGACCAGATGTATGTCCGAAGTTTCTTAAAACAAGCTACACTGCTTTATGTTCCCATAAACAGATGCAAAAACTTAGATAGCACATGGAAATTCATATGAAGCTAAATGGCATAATATATTGTCTGCAGACACAAACAGCAAGACCTGATCAATCTGCTGGGAGCTACTTATGCTGCTGTTCTTTTCCTTGGAGCCTCGAACGCTTCTGCAGTGCAATCTGTTGTGGCGATTGAGAGAACAGTATTTTATCGCGAGAGAGCAGCAGGGATGTATTCTGAGTTGCCTTATGCATTTGCTCAGGTAATAGATAGGTGCACGTCTATCTGTTTCACATTTTATCCACTCCGTAAATCTAGATGATGATATTCGTTCACTCGTATGTTCTTCATTTTGTGCTGCAGGTGGCTATAGAAACAATTTATGTTGCAATACAAACCTTCATCTATGCTCTTCTGCTCTATTCTATGATTGGTTACGACTGGAAGGTGGAAAAGTTCTTGTACTTCTACTACTTCATATTCATGTGCTTCACATACTTCTCAATGTACGGTATGATGGTGGTTGCACTAACTCCTGGCCATCAAATTGCTGCCATTGTTATGTCCTTCTTCCTCAGCTTTTGGAACTTGTTTTCGGGTTTCCTCATTCCTAGGCCGGTATGTCATTACAACTAATCTTCATTTATTAGGATGAGAAAGCAGATAAGATACAACATTGCAGTCTGAAAAACAGAGCAACTAATCATCAATTAGATGGCAACATAGTAACCATCCAATCAATAACAATCAAGCCGTACCAACAAACTTAATCTGTGACCAAAGTAATTCATGCTCTACTGTTGCAGCTAATCCCAATATGGTGGAGGTGGTACTACTGGGCTTCCCCAGTTGCTTGGACAATCTATGGCATTTTCACGTCTCAAGTCGGCGATAAGAAGACATTACTTGAAATTCCTGGTTCAGCACCAAAGCCAGTGGATGCATTCCTTAAGGAATTTTTGGGCTATGACTATGATTTCCTTGTGCCTGTAGTGCTTGCACATGTTGGTTGGGTCCTCCTCTTCTTCTTTGTCTTTGCCTATGGCATCAAGTTCCTTAACTTTCAAAGGAGATAAAAGCCTCCACATGCTTCAGATAGGTGTATCAGTATATGTCCTCATTTGTAACTGTAATTTCTTCTGCCTTTCTGTGAGTCAATTTTTCTCTTGCATGTAACTTTTGTATATGAGAGACAAAGGAAAAACAAATGTTTAATATTAAACATAGTGGTTTTGCTCATTTTATTTGTTGCACTAACAAATTTATTAAAAAATGAGCATTAAGTTCAGAATATAAAATTTTGATGAGGATGTCGCAACCCTTGAGCCCTAAACATTGCGAGTGCTTTTGTCCTATTTCTCAATGAAATAACCACAAGTAATAACAAAACAGGTCAGCTCATAAACCTTGAGCTACATTCATAAACTGAATTTTTGATTTTCCATTGAACAAAAACCAGAAGGGCTCATTTGAGAGTTAAACAAAATTCATAGATATATAGTTAACGTCATTCGTTTCTAAGCGAAGTACAAGCAATAGCCTGGATCTCTCTCTTGCTCTTCACCACACACCGCTTCTTGGTCTCAGTTTCGAGTTTATCCAAATCCTCTGCAATTCCCAAATAGCCATATAAACAATTTGCTTCATCTGCCAGCAACTCTTGCTTTCCGTTGCTGCTGTTTCTGAGGCCAGCAGAACTGATTTTCTGGAACTCCACCCTCCCGTGTTTGTTCTCAGCGAAAAGCTTGTGAAGTCTTTCTGCTTCTCGTAAACCAGAAAATGTGGCATTAAATGTCACTACCAAGATACTTTGATTTGCAGGTTTCCCGCAGCACACCTTGGTCTTCCCCCCACCAAATCCTATACCTACACAACAAGTTGGGATGAAAAATACAAAGCAAACAAAAACATGTCATGCAAAAAACCAACAAAGCATTACACCAGCTATAAGGTCGACTAGAGAAAGCATGTTAAAAGGGAATAAAGGCAGCAAGTTGGTTCCTGAGATAGACAGATGCAACTGCCCTGATAGCTTCATGATTTAAATATTGACCTTACTAAACTAGGATCATAATGAAGATTTTAAATTTGGAAAACCAATCCCCTCCCCAAAATATTGTAACTGATCAAAAAGATTTTTGCAAGTCAATTGGTGCTGAGAAGAATTCGGAATTGGGAGGAAATGATAAGTGAAAGACAAGTTGATATCATAGAATGAAACAGAAATATGACAAGAAACATAATCTCAGTGGAGAAGATGGAAATTACATTAAACCTACCTGCTACAGGAGTAGCCAAAAAGAGAGTCATTGATATGTGGAAGATGAGGAAATTTTAATTAGTTACTTACCTTTAAGAATAGCCCTAAGCCCTTCAACACTTACAATCACCCTTTCATCCGGTTTTTTATTTGCTATGGAACTGTTGTGGATGACAACAACTGGAGGCCAGATAACTGCATCCTCCTTCAGAGCCAAGGCTTCAGCATCAGGCAAACACCGTTGAATCCATGTACCATTGGAGACTGCTGCACTGTCCCATCCCAACAGCACACAAAGTGCTTTATGAAAACCCAAGTGCTCTGCTCTGGAACCAACCATAGGTGACATGAAGGCATGTGTTGCCAAGGGTACCGTGCCTGCAAATTCTTTCGAGTTGCTGATACAACAGGCAGACAGATTGAATAGTCATTAAGCAATTCCTTTGAAGCCTAAATCAACAAAACGTGGGACAAACTACAGAATCACTTCAATCATTTTTTGGTCTGAATCACTTCAGAATTAGTTTGTAGGACATGAGGTGAAATGGGGAAAAACAGAGCCAATATCTTGGTTCAGATACTAGAAAAATATCCCTAGAAAGTGAACCATGCAGTAGTACATGGATAAAGTTCCTACACTATCAGTGACACTACTAAATAAGTGCCTTCCTAATCCAACTTCAAACCCGGAGGAGTGAAGAGTTACTAGGTTACAGGATTTGAAAGTGCAGAAAGCCGAAGACTCGGAATACTGGGTTATCCAGGCACCACAGATGACACAGAAAATGTAGCCACCTACGAAGAAACAAATATGGATTGCCATGGAGGGATCTCTTTATAAAGTAGCAAGCAGGAACTGCAGATTACTAGAGGATGGAAAACCTACAGCAAACATCTTTCAATCTAAGTCTCTGCAACCATTGGTTCTCCTCTGCCACTATAGTTCAAATGAAAGTAGTCCATCCTATTCAAGTATAAAATGCATAAGCAGGATTATCTGCAAAAATGTATTAATCACTTACTTAAAAGCTTTACGTCTTAGAAAAATGCTTCCTTTGAAAGCCCAAAAATTCCTTATTAATAAACAAGGCACACTCGCCACCCTGGGTTTCAAGCAGCATAGAGGTAAATAGAACACTCAGCTGAAGAGATGCCCAAAAGAAAGGAAAGGACATTCTCCCTGACACCATAACCACCTAAACATAGTCTTCTAGGCTCTAATTTCCAAACGCTAATGTACCACTCTGGCATCAGCCGTTCAATAAATAATATTTTCCCTGGCAGAAGGATCTCATATGCCAATTCTGGTAGCCCAAAGAAAGCATTAATTCTGTGTGCAATGCACACGGATGCAATTTCAAAAATGTCGCTACTACAAGAAGAAATAGACTGATAAAATTCAATAATCTAGCAGTTAGAGTATGAACTTTAAATCGTGGGAATAACATCCCTGGTTGCCTACCTTCTGCCAACACATCACTACCCATCATAACCAAGACTGTAATTATCATCCTGAGATTACTAACGCTGTCGCCATGACCATAAACTTCATCAGCATTTCTTCTTATGAAAAAATAAAATAATAGATGTGTTCCATCATTTTTCCTTCCATCTACAATTAACATCCTCTTCATCTTATAGGTTGTGGATGGGAGAATTCACACTTGGTCATGTTACACGAGCATCATGAAACTAAAATAAAACCATTTCAGGTTTGCTCCTCCAATAGCACTCACCAACTATAAGGAAACTGCAACTCATGCAGTGGTAGTGGGAGTTAAATTTTTGGACATCCTGAAAAATCTTCTAGGCCAATAATTAACCTTATCTTCCCATGGCAGAGAGTTCAAAAAGATTTAACCTTAACACTCGCATTTTCAGTCACCCAACAATTAAGAGCCACAAAGTCAAAGCCTCAAGACAACCAACATTTGGAAAAGTCCCTCCAAGACAGCCAATACTCAGAAAATTCAAGAACTAAAACTTAAAACTACCTAACGGCAGTTTTATCCTATATTAAATTTCTATAAGTTCTAATCATACCCGAATCCTTGTTCAGCAGAAAGAGCAAAATTTAAACTTAAAGATAGAAACATATTACGTCTTAGATGACAGACCTGGCACATATGCAACACTTTGTAGTAACAGTTTCTCCTTCCATGAATTTCCTTTTTAGAGCTGGGTTCTCATGCAAACCCTTCATGTACTTAAGAAAGGCGCTATCTACCAGCCTCTTGAACTCCTCAGAATCTTCAGGGAGTGCTTTTTTTGCAAGTTTCCCCTCAACTTTTGGAAGACCACCCCCTTGAAGATGAATGCTTCCACTAAAATCATATGTTTCTCTTATTCGAGATTTGTATTGATCTTCAAGTTTATGACCTAAGTATTTGGGATCAGGAACATTTTGAGCAGGCGCCAGATGTTTCTTTACACTGCCAGGCGATTTCAAAGGTCCCAAACGTTTTTTTACACTGCCAGGCGTGTTCAAAGGTTCCAAACGCTTCCTTATACTGCCAGATGATGTCAAAGGTCCCAAACGCTTCTTTATATCTACCCTGGCAGATTTGAATTGTTCGCCATGATGCTCTTGCATTTTAGAGGATGGTAACACATTGTCAGAATTCAACTTGTTGATATCTTCAGCATTCCATTGGGACTCTCGATAGCTCACATCTTGTTCAATGTTCCATTGATCCTCTTCGCAGGTCACATCTCGGGCAATGCTCGGTTGATAGTCTCCAAAGTTCATATTTGGGTTAATATTCAGCCGATCCTCTCCCAAATTCAGAGCTTGGTCAATGTTCCACTGACCCTCTCCAATGGTCGCATATTGTTCTACATCATCATTAGTCAACTGATTGTCCCCATAACTCAAGTCAGGTACATTGCAAGAGTCGCTCAAATCATGGAACAACTCAGATTTTGAGTCATTCCCTCTTCGTCGCTTAGCCAGAGCTCGTTTTCTCATTGCGCACATTTCCAGAGTGGTCACATCGTCCAAACCTGGATCACCCTCAAGCCGAGCTAATCTCTTCAATGCACCCTCATATGACAAAGCTTCAAGCCCTCTTTCAAGAGCATCATCTCCCCCAAATCCGAAGTCCCGGGTTCTCGAACTGGAACCCAAAGCTTCAGAATAATCAGGCAATGATTGTTCAGTACCCAAGGATTGATAACTGGGTATAGTCGGTTGTGTCTGTTCTGTAAAGTTATGATATTGGTTCCACTGGCTAATCTCCTGAGTACCTACTCGAAGTGCGCCATTGGCACCATCAGTTCTGTCCATAATGGAATCCACAATGCTAGGCCTCAAATAGCTTGGAGGTCTGATGTCTTCTCCAACACTATTTGCAATATTTTTACAGAGAAGGTCACGAATGGGAAAGGTACCCATTTCACCATGCTCGCTTCTCTTCACTCCAGGGTCATTGTAGTCCCCATTTGGGCTATGCTGAGCCCAATTTGAGTCCAGCAACTCATTCAGTCGTGGTGCTTGACCTTGTGAAGAATACCCACCAAGGCCAATACGTCCCTCCGCAGCCATTTCTCTGCTTCTGTTGAATTGATCTGAAAGGCCGCGAAAACCCTCCTTTAAACCACTTGAACGCCCCGGTCCGGAGCCAAACACGGTCTTATCTTCTTGACCCATGTATTGACGGTGGTCCCCATGCCTAAAGTCGTCAACTTTTGGAACACCCACATGGGATTTTGCCAATGGCGACGTCAAGCCACCATGAAAATACCCATATTTCCTGCTGGGGTCCACACCCGGATCCGGAACCCCACTTTTCCCGCTTCCTCCGGCATAATCATTTTCAGCATTCAGCCTGTAAGAGCTACTGTCGTTGCCCAAACCAAAGCCGGGTCGGTTCAAACCCGGATTCATGGTCGGGTTCGAACCGTCGGGTTTCTGGGCGAGCAAATGGTTCCATTGAAACTTCATCGACGTCGAGTGGGAGACAGGCACATCCGCGCTCAACCCTGACAGTTTCAGCGGCTGCCTATCTCTGCCGCCGTCATGATAACGACGCGTATCGTGCTCCACCCGGGCTTCCGGTTCGGGTCGTGAATAACGAGAAACCCGACCCGAGTACGATCGACGATTCTCGTCGGTCTCCTCGCCGTCCCTAGCCGAAGACCGACTCGGATAGTCCCCAAACCTCCGCCTGCTCATGAAAAGCACTACAAGAGAAAAAGCAAAACACTAACCGTACGCCTAGACAGCAAAGTCTACCGTAACAACGGCGTCGTAAGAGGACGACTGAGTTCCTAAGCTGATGACAAAAACGGGGAATGAAACTCAAGAAAAAGTAAAGGTGTTAAATGACGTTGTGTGCATGGAGAAAGATGAGAAAATTTTGTGGGCGGTGCAGCTGCTGGCTGCGGTTGTTTTCTTTTTTGTTTGGTAAAGAATAGAGCTGTTGCTGCTGCTGCTGCCGTAGTTTTGGGGGGATTTTAATGTTTGTGGGAAGCGTGGAGAAGGAGGTGGTGATCAGGTAGGAGATGGATTGGTGAGTCTGGTGATGTGGCGGGCTGGGAGTGATGGACCTCAGATGGCAGGAGGTTTGATTGAGAGCATGGGATTGGACCCTTGCATTTTGATTAGCGGGATTTTACATTTTTCGGCTTTTTTAAGTTTTTGGATAGACTAGGCCGTTAATTATGGACGGATAATCTCTGGCAACCGTCTACTTGGGCTGGATTTTGGAGGACCAGTTGTGGGCTGCTTTGGTTTGGCTTTACCCACTTAGGATTGGGCGGAGTGGCTGATCTGTTTTTGGTTTGAAGAAGCGGTGCTTCAATTTGGATTCAAATTTTTTTAGATACCTCTTGTGGGTTTTGACAGAGGAGCCCTATGCCTTGTTGATTAAAAATAGCCAGGAATAAAGGGCTATATAGCTTATTGAATATCTACTTACTATTAGATAATTACACCTAGATAATCCCTAAACATGAAAAGACACTTAAATATGCATAAAAACTTGTATGAAACGGGAATAATACTGTTTTGTTATTTCCAGCCAATCACAGTCTGTCACGTAGAAAAGTTATGGGAGACTTTGGAAAAAGCAAAAGGAGAGAGAAATTTTTTAAAAGAAACCAAAATTGACAAAATTGCCCTTATTTATTTTTGAATTTCCTAATGAATCATTTACATTTGTATGTCTTTAATTTAAAAGTTGAGATGTTTTTCTGTCTTTTTTGAAAAAACTTTGACTTTTTTCAAAAGTGAAAGTTTTTTTTATGGCTAAAACCTAAATTTCTCACGTGTGGGGGGAGACATATTGTGATTGAACGAGGGTAGCAAAATAGTGATATTTCCGTTTCATGTAAGTGTTTCTCCTTAAATATGACCAATGGGGTATAGCTTAGTTAGATGAACTTTTTCACCTCCACCCATAAATATAAAAAAAATTGTGTAAACCCTTATTCTCCAATTGCTTGTACTAAAAAAAATATCCCTAACTATGTAAAGACACAAATTAATTAGAACTAATAACATGAACCTTGATAATCCCCAAATATGAAAAGACACGTATTTAGTATATATAGTATATATATTTATAACCACTTTGTATGTAGTATATATATTCCTCCTTGAGAGAAGAATAAACATATTAGTTTTAAACCCTAATTATTTTGAGTTGGTATCAGAGAGGGTTCCGATCCGTCTCTACAACATCAAAACCATAATCCTAAAAATACCTATTTCCGCTGCACCTAGCCTATACACCTAAGCATGTGCTGTCTTATATCTCTTACTGTCGTCGTCGTCACCTAATCTTTTGCTGCCGCCGCTATCTATCACCATGTCAGATGTCATTGACTCTTCTTCTTCTACTCCTATTGTGACGGTTCATACCGAATCGTCCACCAACCTACCTATGGGATTCAAATTGAATGGATCCAACTTTAAGATATGGGCTTCGATGATCGAACTCCATGCTACTACACAAGGCAAATTGGGTTACCGACTGGCGAAACTGATGCCCCTGATTCCAAATACCCGAAATTTGGGAAGTGGAAAATTATTGATGTGTTGTGAAAAGTTGGATGTTGCGAACTATGGAACCCAGTTTGTTGAAGATGTTTCATACTCTAACTACTGCTAAGGAAATTTGGGATGCTGTTAATCAGATGTTTTATGATGGCTCTGACATATCCCAGCTCTATGAACTGCGGTGCCAGGCTACCAGTCTCAAGCAAGAGGGTCATCCTGTCTCTATTTATTTTGCCGAACTTAAGGCAATCTGGCTTGAATTGGACAAGAGACGTCCTTTTCAGATGAAGTGTGCTGATGATATGAAGACTTTTCAGGCTGCTGTTATGGCAGATCGTGTGTATGATTTTTTGGCTGGCCTTGACGATACTTATGACAAGGTCCGAAGTGATATCCTACGAAGTGATAAAGTTCCAAGTATCGAAAATGTATTTTTTATGGTTCGTTGAGAGGCTCAATGCCAGATTACTATGCTTAGATCCAGCACCAAGATTGGAGAACCTACTGTTGTGTTTGCTTCCAAAAACACTGCTTTGGTTTTTGAGCGTGCAGGGTCTGGCTCTTCTGCTGTTCTGTCTCGTCACCTGACTTCTGTATAAAAAGATAAATTGAAGTGTGATCACTATGGTGAGAAGAGACATACTATTGACACCTACTGGGCATTACATGGGGTACCAGATTGGGAGAAGGAGCGGAGGCGTTTCAAAAAGGAACAATTGGATAGCAAAGCTCATGTGGCTGTTGCCCCCACTTCTGTGGCTGACATCACCACTAACCACGACCACCTTATTGCTACTCCTCCTCCGACTTTGACCGCCGTCTCAAGCACTCTAACACCTCCTCCTCTAGGTAACTTTGGCAAGGCTTTCCATGCCCATGATACCCGAGATACAGGTTGGATTATTGATTCAGGAGCTACTGACCATATGACGTATAATTCTGCTTTATTGTCTACTACTCTTTCACCTTATCATAATCATGTTCTGACTACTAATAATGTTGTTGCTCCTGTTACGGGGGCTGGTTCTATACTCTTGACACCTACTTTACCATTGGACAAAGTGTTATTGGTTCCATCTTTATCTAGTAATTTATTATTTGTATCGCAAGTTACTGAGTAGTTAAACTGCATTGTATTGATGTATCTGTCTTTTGTCTTACTACAGGATATCCAGACTTGGGAGATCTTTGGTCGTGGTACTAAAAAGGGGGGGCTTTATTATGTGGATGATGTGGCAACTAGTCGGGTTCTTCGTGCTGGTAGCGCTGAAACTTCTCAGCATCGCCGGATTTGGTTGCTACATTACCAATTTGGTCATGCCTCATTTGGATATTTACGGCATTTGTTTCCTGCATTATTTAGTGGTGTCAACGAGTCTGATTTCCAATGTCAGACTTGTATTTTAGCTAAGAGTCATAGGGTATCCTACCCTCCAAGTTGTAATAAACAGCTTATGCCATTTGATTTAGTTCATTCTGATATTTGGGAACCTTCCCCGGTTTCTATAGCCTTGGGAGTTCGTTGGTTTGTGTTATTTGTGGATGATTGCACTCGTATGATGTGGTTATATGGGATGAAAAATAAAAATGATGTGGTCGAAATTTTTCAGCGTTTCTATCAGATGATTCAGACTCAATTTATGCTCCCTATCAAGGTTTTTCGATCTGATAATGGTGGAGAATTTTTTAATTCGGCGTTATCCAATTTTTTTCACACTAAGGGTATACTACATGAGACTACTTGCCCTCAAACACCACAACAAAATGGGGTTGCTGAACGTAAAAATGGGCAAATCCTTGCTGCTGCCCGTGCTTTGCTGCTTGGTGCGTCAGTTTCGAAGCGGTTCTGGATGAATGTTGTTACCTATGCAGCCTATCTCTTGAATCGTCTACTTTCACGAGTTTTGGATTTCCAAACTCCTATGCAGGTACTCATCCATCATGTCTCTGCCTCTTCTATGTTGACTCTGTGTTCAAAGGTGTTTGGTTGTGTCGTCTATGTTCACCTTCATCAGAATCAGAGGAGTAAGCTGGACTCATGTGCTCTCCGTTGTGTCTTTCTGGGTTTCTCTCCTCATCAGAAAGGTTACCGATGCTATCATCCAGCAACCCGACGTCTATATGTCTCTATGGATGTTACCTTTGTTGAGGATGAAATGTTCTTCTCTGATACACCCGAGCATGTCCTTCAGGGGGAGACAAGTAGTGAAGGACATAGCTGGCTAAATTTACAATGGGGAGTAGTATTGGATAGTTTGATACAAAGGGAAGAACCGACCGAACCTGCTACACCAGCAGAACCTACTACACTAGCTGAACCTGCTATTTTAACTGATGTCACTACTGTCACTGAATTGATTGCCCCCATGAAGCTTCTCTAATAGTACCCGATCAAGCTCCCCTGGATATTCCTGAGGTAAGTGCTTCTATTCATACTTCTGATAATTCTTATGTTTTACCGCCTAGACGGAACCGTGGGGTTCCACCTGATTGTTACTCACCAAAAGGCAAAGCGAGATATGCTATTGCCCATTATGTGTCTGATCACAGGTTATC